GATCCCAGTGCCTGAAGCTGGAGGCTGGAAACAAGAGAAAGGCACAAATCAGAATGAAGGATTATCGAAAGGCAGCCCTGAAGATTCGGGACCGCGGAGTGGTGGCTGGGATTGTAAAACCCACCAGGGATGGGGCGAGAAACTTCTTCCATCACAGATACCAAACAAACAAGCAGCACTTAAAACCCAAAATCAACAACCGCAGCAGCAATCGCAAACCCAGCAGCAGATGCCGGGATATCCAAAAGTCGTACAGGACCGTGGTCGTACAGGAGAGAACGATGAGCAGAGTAAAGGCTCGGGGTGGAGCTGTGGGCCCATTCCTCAGATTGCTTCAGCTGGTGAGCCGAGCGGGTGGGATGAGCCCTCGCCTCAGTCCATCAGTCGGAAGATGGACATTGATGACGGCACCTCTGCATGGGGGGATCCGTCACGATACAGCAGCAAGAACGTCAATCTGTGGGATAAGAACAGCTCGCATCCCCAACAGCAGTCCTCTGGAAGACCGGCTGGAACTCCATCTAAAAACTCTGGTAAGTGTGCAGAAGGGGTGTTGTAAAAATACCCAGAGTGACTAAAAGCAGTGTTTTTCAACCACCATGTTCCTGGAGGACCACCAGCTCTGCACATTTACCATGTCTCCTTAACCAAACACCGGTCGAGGCAGTGGCGCAGTAGGTAGTGCTGTCGCCTCACAGCAAGAAGGTCGCTGGTTTGAACCTCGGCTCAGCTGGCATTTCTGTGTGGAGTTTGCATGTTCTCCCTGCCTTCGTGAGGGTTTCCTCCGGGTGCTCCGGTTTCCCCCACAGTCCAAAGACATGCGGTACAGGTGAATTGGGTAGGCTAAATTGTCCGTAGTGTATGAGTGTGTGTGGAAGGAAGGGCATCCGCTGCATAAAAAACTTGCTGGATAAGTTGGCGGTTCATTCTGCTGTGGCGACCCTGAATTAATAAAGGGATTAAGCCGACAAGAAAATGAATGAATTAATAACCAAACACACCTGATTAAGTTAATCAGCTCAGCAGAGGTGGGAAGACCTGTAATAGTCTTTAACCTGTGAAGGAGACATCCATAACGTGCAGTGCTGGTGGTCCTCCAGAAACATCGTTGAGAAACACTGACTTAAGGGATAGTTCACCCAAAAATGAAAGTTCTGTCATCATTTGCTCATTCTTTACTTGTTTCAAACCTAGAAGCTTCTTTTATTTTAAACAGAAGAAACTTGCAGCCCTTGACTTCCATAGTATTTGTTTTTTCGACTATGGAGATCAATGGTTGCAGGTTTTCATCTTCAAATGATCTTCATTTGTAACCAACAGAAGTAAGAAACTCAAAGTTTAGATCCGCTGGAGGGGGAGAAAATAGTGAGTAAATGGATTATTTTGAGTGAACTATTCCTTTTCCAGTTAAACAGTGCATATATTGCCTCAGTTGTTTGTTTATTGTTGTCTTGTTTGATCAGTTTATCCGTTTCTATCTTGATTTTTTTTCAGCTATAGGGATAATAATAATGCATTTTATTTAGAATTAGCACTAGAACTCGAAAAGACTACAAAAGACCAAAACAGAATAACAAACTTGCATTAATGTAGTAATATGCAGTAATATCTTTATAGTTGATATTTTTACTTTTGCAATGCCATTGTGGTGTTTATGTGCAGTATGAATGGACATTGCATGTGGTCACTGCACATTTGTTTCTAAAATAAGTAAAAGCTGTTCTCTAAGGAGACAGGACTTTATTTCTCTCCCTGGATATTTATAATATATGGTCAGTGATATTCCGATTGTAATAAACTCCAGAAAATATTGTGTTGCAACAGTATATACAGAAGCAGCCGAACCATTTCCTTTCATTCATGTACACATTATAGGTCCTGCAATATGGACACGCAGCAGTGGCCCCTCCGACTCGTCCATGGAAAGCGGTCCTGCTCCCTGGGTTAAACCATTCGATGGGTCATCTGGCTGGGGGGAATCCAGTGAACCTGGGAAAGGCGGATGGGGAAACTCGCATTCCCATCCTAATAAGACTGGTAAGAGCTTGTCCAAGTATACATGCTCATTACTCAATATAACATAACATCCTAATTGTTTAGTATTCTTGGTGAAAAGATTGCCTTTATGATTTATTAAAGGATTAGTGCACATCTAAGAATGAAGAGGTCCTGATCATTTAGTCAACCTTGCCATGCAGGATGTTAGTTTCTTTCTTCAGTTGTAAAGAAATCATTTATTGGGATTTTCAGCATGTTGTAGATGTTTATGCTCGATGAATTGATCTTTCAAGCTGCAGTGAATCATAAAAAGTGTATGCAATTTCAAGAAAATTAGCTTAGTTTAGCATCGTTTTGCTAGAAAGACACTTAATCCTTACCTGTGGTCATTTAGAGCCCTTTGAAACTGCAATTTGAAAAAAAAATTAAACCTCTGAGCACCATAGAAGTCTATTAGATGGAGAAAAATCATGCATCAGGGTGTCTGCGGGGTCCTAAAAAGTATTAAAAGTTGATAGGTCAATATAGAGAAATTTAAGGCCCTTAAAAAGTGTTAAAAAGTCTTAAATGCTATTTTTTAAGGTATTACACTTGATATATTTTTGATTATGCAATGTATGGTTGTATGCTAAAGTTTATGCTAAACTACAAAGTTCTTTGCTGTGTTCACACCAGACGAGGCAAGCGCGGATAAAACGTGCAATTCGCGCGCAAATAGACACATGAACGTTTTGAGTTTACTCGCTTCTTTCGCGTGTCACTTCACAACAGACACGGATTTGCGTGATGGGCAGGGCTTCGGTCTGCCCCGTGACTCTAGCTTCATTGCTAAATGGGGAACATAGATTTTATAGAGAGAGTAGCTGTGTTTATGTGCTTTAGGAAGGCTGAAAAACAGCATCAATTCATTTGAAGCCGTGTCTGAGTCAACTAGATCTTTCAGAGGTGCTCCTAGCTCTGTGGGCTCTTCAACTCCTCCAGAAACTCAACCTGCGTGTCGAGTGTTATACACGCATGCATAATGTCAATAGCAACTCGATAAGTGAACATCTCGACTTGCTTAACAGAGAGAAAATGGCATAGATTTTGTGTATTGCACAGCTTTCATTGTTTGTTACAATCTGCTTATGCAACTATAACAACGACGCTTGTTAGCATATGTTGCCAGAAAATCCAGTGAAACACTTAGAAAAGGCATTTGGGTTAGGATGAGAGTTAAGAAGTTTGGTGCAGTGCTCTTAATGAAATCTCTTACCTCAGGGACTTTTTCCACCTTTAAGTTAAATTGTTTAAGGACGTTCATGCAGCCGAGCCCAGTTCTTTTCATGGATGCTCATTTCGAATGTGCCATTAAAGCTGATCTTGATATTGACTCTCTAGGTTCTAAGTCTATGCAAGAGGGCTGGGGCGATGAAGGCTCGAATTCTTCCCGACACTCCAGCTGGGAGGAGGAGGATGGAGGAGTCTGGGGCGGTCGGGGGTCCCAGGGCAACATGTCCAGCTCATACAGCTCCGGCAGCTGGGGCCAAAGCCAGGGGTCCAGGAGGCTCAGCTCTAAGGTGTGCCGGGAGACAACCATAGCTGCAGATTTTTCAGACTTGACTCTTAAGTAACACCTTGATTTGTTTTTTTTTCTCAGAGCCCTCTTAAAGGTAACAGTGGAGACTCGTGGGTTTCTCCTGTATCTCGGCAGTTCTCAAACATGGGCGTAACGGTAAGACAGTCGTTAGCACCAGTGCTGGGAACATTTATTCAAGCAGTCAAGCATTACAATCATCACCATTCGTTTACTCCCATTCATTTATTCTCATGTTCTTAAGCCCAAATCCACAAAAGTAAAATATAATCGAATAACTTTTTACTCGCATTACTTACTTAATGCATGATCCAGCACTGATCATCACCGTGCTGAGCTGAGAAAATATGCTGTTTGTTTCTGTCAGGATGACGACTCCAGCATGGGTCACGATAACAGACATGACAGGAGAGGCATGAGTGATGGAGAGATGCGGAGAGGAGGCAGGACTGGAGGAGCTTTCCGCTCGCAGACTGCCAAAGAGACGGGCTGTGGAGAGAGTGGACCCTACCTGGACAAGGTACTGACAAACTCACTGAAGGGTGTTGTAAACATCTAAGAGCCCAAAAAACCAGGGAGAATCTTTCGGTTGTCTTCAAAGCAGAATCCTTTTTAATAAGAAGAACTCAGCGTGGCTGTGGTGTCATCGAAAGCAAACTCTAAACTCCACAGCAAACACTATAAATTTTTTTACATTTTACAGCCTGTAGGTGGGGTCAGTCATGGTGGGGACAGTCAAACAAAGCATGCAAATGAAATCTGGTTGTCTGCAGGGTGCCATGCCTTCTCCAGGTCTGATCTCATCAGTATATAAGTACATCAACACAACAATGTGCAAATGATGTTCTGGAGACAGAGAAGACAATAGATACAGCCATGCTGTGAAACTGATAATTACATCACTTTGGCTTAGCCTGTAGTCAGCAAGGCAAAGGTTAAATGTCCCTCCTAGCTGGCATGTCAATGAAATGATATAATTAAAAACCAAAGAATATAACTTTTCAGTTTTACGTAGATTATTGTTCATTTGGAATTAGATGATAGAAATGTATATTTCCACAAGGGCAAAGAGTTGTAGACGGGGCTTGATTTGTGCCGGAACACGGCGGGTCCGGATCAGGCACCTCTGAAATCTTATCCAGCACCTAATTTAAGGGGCCGATTACACCGATTGCAAGAGCCTTCCAAAAACACACTTGTTTGTCGACAGGAAAAAAAGGAGAGCGATGCACTTTTTTATGTCGCTAGGCAACAACTGAATCGGCTAGGTATTGTTTGAGAGCGTTGCTGTTGATGTTATTGTTATTTTAATAGTTAATAATATTGTGATATTCATGATTTGTCATACAGCTCTGGATAACCCAAAACAGCAACCACAAGAGTCTCCTCCAATTTCGAAAGTCTCACAGGCACCTCAATGGAAACCCCGCCTCTGCTTTCCTAATTGGAAAATGAAAAAGACACGAGTGACGTAACACTTTTTTTCCCTTAGAGTTGACTTTTTTTTGAACTGAGAGTGCACGACACGCAAGGGCAAAAACGAGAGGCGCAGCAGGCAGTTTAAATGCGAGGCGCGCAAAACGCTCGCGGCTGCTAGTAAACCATTAAAAAGAGGCGCATAAACCGCGTTCGGTGTGATCGGTCCCTTCCCTATCCCCCTCCTCATTCGCCCTCCTCCCCCATCCGCTGTTCACTTTCACTTTCGTCCTTGACCCCTCTAATGCTGTGTTCACACCAGACGCGGAACGCGCGGATAAATCGCGATATTCGCGCGTAAATAGCCACATGAACATTTGAGTTTACTCGCTTCATTTGCGTGTCAAATCCGCTTCATTCGCATGTCAAATTTACTTCAGAACAGATGCGGATTCGCGTGATGGGCTGGGCTTCTGTCTGCCCGGTGACTGTAGCTTCGTTGCTAAATGGATTTTATTGAGAAAATAACAGGGTTATGTACTTTATGAAGGCTGAAAAACAGCGTGCTTCTGACTGAGCCAAGCCCAGTTTGATGACTTGTTGTCGGTGTCGCCTGGAGGATTTCCCCCAGGACACCATCAACAGGTTCTATGTCGCAATCACGCCCCCACAAGAGGAAGCTTCTGATTGGTTAACGCGGCGTGAATGTCTGCTGAAGTTCAGATTTTCGAACTCGAGAGATTCGCGCGAAACGCATGTTAAGCTAAATTTAAATCCCGCGCCATTCGTACGTATCCCGCTATTCGCACCGCGCCATTCGTGTGTATCGCGCCGCAGGATATCTATTCACGCGTTTGCATTGACTTAACATGTAAATCACTCGCGCTTGACACGCGTTCCGCGTCTGGTTTGAACGCAGCATAAGGCCCTGTTTACACTAATGTGTTTTAGTTTGAAAACGCAAAAGTTTTGCTACGGTTACGCCATCTGTCCACACTACGCCAGAGTTTTTGATTGCTGAATATGGAGGGTTTTGGAAACGCTGGAGAGGCTGTTTTCATTCTAAAACGCTGCTGCTCCGTTTCAGTGTGGATGAGGGAAAACAGAGAAATCTGAAACGGAGGCGGGGCTGCTGAGATTCGCTAGCTGATTGGGGCTTTTGTGTCATTGCGTATCCTTCCCTTATTTGTCAAGCCCCTATCACATGACTATAACACATGGCTTTAACGCTACCGGAAGACAGCAGACCAGCCTCCACTGTAAACAACAACATGGACACAGAAATGGGAGCGTTGTTTGCACTATTGTCTGTTTTAGGCGCCATTATGCTGTTGTTAATTTGTTACGTTTAGTAACAACTTGACCTCGTCGTCTGTCCACAAAAATACCTCTCTTGCTTTCTTTGCCTTCGCGTTCATTGTTCAACCGGTGTTTGTTGACTAACAATAACCAAATGCAGAGCGAGACACATGCTTCCTGTTTATACTAGAACACGCATGCCCAGAGTGCGCGAATGGTCACGTCATATACGTTTTTGTGGCGTAGTGTGGACGGAGATATGTTCAGAAACGCTAGTGTGGACGCGGATCGGTTTTTATCTAAAACGCCGTTTTAAAACTAAAGCGCACTAGTGTAAACGGGGCCTGAATCCTAAGGTAACAAATTAAGCACTGGTTGTAGATAATAACAAAGATAGCGTGGCCACAAATGCAGGAAATTTCTACAAGAAGAAACAACAGCAGGATTCAAAAGGATAGTTTACACTGATTGACCAATCAGAATCAAGAACCAGAACTATGCATTTTATAAATCTTCTTTGCTCTTGTCTTCTGCTGTTTCTAAGGTTGGAGGTCATGGTATGTTTGGTGGTGGGATTCCTCCAATGAGGGGGATGCATCAGGCCGGTGTGCACCCATTAAACCCCTCCCCTGGCATACGAGCACAAGTGCCTCATCAGTTCCTGCCTCCTCAGGTCAGTCAGTGTTTTTGGTTACAAAGCTATGACAAAAAGTTTTGATCCACTTCAGATGTTGAGTACTGTAGCTTGTTTTCTACTACTACTGTTAATAATAACAATACATTTATTTATAAATCGCTTTACATCTGAAGTAAAATCACAGAGTGCTACAGAAAAAAGCATGATGAAACTAAAGCAAAAGGACAAGTTAAAGTCAGCTGCCCACTAAGATGTACACAAAGGACTGTTCCTCTGTTGTGCAGGTTCCAGGGCCGATGCTGAAGCCAATGGCGCCCCCTAGCGGAGGCATGTTTCCTCCTCAGCTGTCCCCTCAGCACATCGCCATGCTCGGCGGCATTAATCCACACATGCAGCAGTTCCAGCTGGTATGGCTTATTTTGAGTCTTGTAGTTGCAGTTATTGTAGAAGCGTTGTGTTAATGTTTTAAATATGTTGTCTGTCTGTCTGTCTCAGGCCTGTCAGCTCCTCCTGCAACAACAACAACAACAGCAGCAGCAGTTTCTGAATCAGAGGAAGTTTTCTCCTCCTCTAAGACAACAGCACGACCCGCAGCAGGTAAACACTCTCGCACAGCTGCACAGCGCCACCTCCTGGATGTTAAATGATTAGCGATGCATGTTTTAAACAGCAGGGATGTTCTGTTTACTGAAAATTAGCTTAACATGCTAAATAGATCTTTCCATCCATCCATCCATCATCTATCTATCCATCCGTCCCTCTATCAATATGTGTATATATATATATATATATCCCTCTATCCATCTGTCTATCCATTCATCTATCTATCTATCTATCTATCTATCTATCTATCTATCTATCTATCTATCTATCTATCTATCCATCTATCCATCTATCCATCCATCCATCCATCCATCCATCCATATATATCAATCTATCTGTCCATCCATCCATCCCTCTATCAATCCATCCATCCATTTATCCCTCTATCCATACCTCCATCTATCCATCTATCCATCCATTGATCCATATATATATCTATCTGTCCATCCATCCATCCATCCCTCTATCAATCCCTCCATCCATCCATCCATATATATATTCCTCTATCCATCCATCTATCCATCCATCCATATATATATCCATCTATATCTATCTGTCCATCCATCCATCCATCCCTCTATCAATCCATCCATCCCTCTATCAATCCATCCATCCATCCCTCTATCAATCCCTCCATCCATCCAACATCCATCCATCTATATATATATCCATCTATATCTATCTGTCCATCCATCCATCCCTCTATCATTCCATCCATCCATCCCTCTATCAATCCGTCCATCCATCCATCCATTTATATATCCCTCTATCCATCTATCTATACATCTATCTATCCATCCATCGATCCTTATATATATATATATATATATCTATCTGTCCATCCATCCATCCCTCTATCAATCCATCCATCTATCCCTCTATCAATCCCCCCATCCATCCATCCATCCATCCATCCATATATATATTCCTCTGTCCATCCATACATCCGTCCATCTGTACGTCCGTCCATCCATCGGTCCATCCATCAATATATATATATATATATATCCGTCCGTCCATCCATCATCCATCTGACTATTTATCTGTCTATCCATCCATCCCTCTATCAATATATGCATCCATCCATCCATCCATCCGACTATTTATCTATCCATCCATCCATCCATCCATCCATCCATCCATCCATCCATCCATCCATCCGACTATTTATCTATCCATCCATCCATCTATCCCTCTATCTATCTCTATCTATCCATCCGTCCGTCTGTCCATCATCTTTTTGGCATGAAAAATGTAACAAAAGTATTGCCAATGCCATGTCTAGTTCTGACGCCTAAAGTGTTTTGTAGTAATGTGTGTGTGTGTGTGTGTGTGTGTGTGTGTGTGTGTTTGTTGTTATTCTGGTGTAGTTGGCGCGGATCATGGCGATCCTCCAGCAGCAGCAGCAGCAGCAGGGTGTTGTGGGACCCAAGCTCTCTCCGTCTCCTTTGGGTGCACACATCCCCAAACACCCCGACACACACCTGCATCACCTGGGCCTGAACACACACAAACCCCCCGAAGCAGCAGTGCACGCAGCCATCGGAGTATCAGAACTACACAACAAAGCCCCTGCTGCGTACACTGGTGAGACGCACACCTCCGCAAACACAGCAGGACTTCATCTGTACTGCATGATTTACCGTAGTAGATTCATTTAAAGGCACAGTAATATTGAAATGAAAAAGTGTGTGTGTTTCAGGAGCAGTTAAGCTGCCCGATGGCTCCTCGTTCTCTCAGTATGATGTGTTGGGCAGCGGTTGGCACCGCAGTGCAGCAGGGAAGGTGGACGCGCCTCCTGCAAACCCCAGCTGGCCTCCAGGTACAGCAGAACACATTAGCTAAAAACTGCTGTGTTCACTCTGAGCCCACATCTGAACTCCACATACATCTACACTGATGTTCAAAACAGACTTTTAGGCCATGTTTAAGAAAAAAATAAAGGAAGAAAGACTGTGAAAACTCTGTTAAACATTACTTGGGAAATATTTGGTATTCAGAATTTTGCAGGAGAGTGAATAGTTGTGTTTTAGAGTGTATGTTTGTGCTCCTCAGAGTTTCAGCCGGGCGTCCCGTGGAAAGGCCTCCCGAGCCATGAATCTGACCCTGACCCCTACATGACCCCTGCGGGAATGCTGGGATCCTCCCTGCTCAGCGACACTGAACATCACCTGCTGCAGGACAACACGGGTACACACTCACTGAACACCCTTCACTGACCACACACACCATAATACACCACTTTAGGAGGTTTATATCAGTCTGCAGGACGACACACACACACTGAGCGATCAGACATGAGCGTGAAGACCCTTCACTGACCACACACACCATAATACATCACGAGTTTATATTGTTCTGCTGGACAACACGGGTGCACCACACACACACACACACACACACACACACACACACCATAATACACCACTTTATATCTGTTTATATCAGTCTGCAGAAGAGATATAGTTTCTGGGCTTAATGCAGCTCATCCTATAGGGTGAGCAGTGTTCATTGTGTCTATTAAATATGAAATTAATTAAGAATTAATTAAATACTAAATGCAAAATGCCAATTAATGCAAGTTCAGGTCATGTATTTGACGTATTATTGAGTCTTGTAAAGCCTGATATATAGTTAGAAATATAATTGTTTTAAGTAGTCGTTTTGAACCGTAACTCTAATGTAGAATATAAAAATACAGTAGATGTAATATAAATGAGCAATATCACATGAGTAGCAGTGCGATATGGCTGTATATCGGCACTGGTGGGAGGCCATATACATGCCGATGCCATATATATACCGATATACAGCCATATGGCACTGCTACGAGTGTGATATTGCGTTTATACAACAATTTGACAGCATAATTGTGTATATAAAAATAAAATCAAACATGGAGAGTCTCAAAAACCCTTTTGTGTGAGGAACTACTTTCTTCCGCCTTGGATTCAAATCATAAGCTGACAGTTAAACAGTTGAGCGTGCATCTTTTAAACTTTAGATCTGTAGTGTCTGCTTTCTGCTGGCTGTATATGTGGGCGGAGTAATACACAAAGGGTAAAGAGGCTGTACGGGTGCTGATATTACTTAAATATGTCACGGCTATCAGCCAATCAGATTCGAGAACCAAACAGAATTGTTGTATAAATATATATATATATATATAATCATCAAGTAAAGCTGAGCTGCTGCAATTCAGTAAATATTGATTTTGAAATATTAAAAGCATTATCAAAGATTTTTTGTGGTTTACCTCAGAAATAAAACATCTGACTGATAATGAGGTTTGTTATGTTATGTAAGGGATAAAGTACAGCCAGGTGGTTGTTTTTGCAGAATAAAGCCTATCGGGTTAGTCAGCAGCAGTTGTGTAAGACTGAAGGCTATATTCTGGGAAAACAATCACCCGGATGAACTTTATCTGGTTTATTACATGGCTAATTGCCTCAGAACATTCAAATTATGCACAAAACATCATTCAGAGCTGTAATAGTTTATAACTGCTTCAATTAAATGAAAAGGAATACGGCTGAATGGAGTATACACTAACCTGGGTATTATTCAGCCACAAGGTAACGACAAACAATCAAAAACGATCAAGTGGTGCTCGCTGCAGAGCCATTTGGGCGAGCTGAGCTCCAGCGAGGGGGAGCTTGAGCTTGAGCTCCACCTTTTTTGCACTTCTGTTAAACAGGGTTAGGGGTGGGGTTGGTGTACGCATTAAAACAGCTGACAGGAGGCAGAGCAAGAGCTCATGTCAAGATCATTCTAATACCTAAATCAGTCTGTGTTATTAGTTTCAGTTGTTATTTGGAAATTACATATCTAGAAATGTCACAACTGACCAATAAGATTCAAGTATTCCAGACTGGGAGTGCAATATGAAATCTGACATTGCAATCTTTTGTTTGTCTGCAAAATGAATATCATTTCATTCCCATAGCTCTATTTAAAAATATTTCATTACTTTAGATTGACTGGGCTGATCATGTCTTTTTCAATGCAGTGTGTTTGCATAAATGATAGTAAATTACACGCGTATAAATATGACAGAGCGAAAGTAAAAGTGAAATAAACAGTGCTTTATTGTTTTCAGTATTCAGATACAAACATTAAACAATCAAATATAAACGAACATCACTTTATAGATCATTTTATACAATAATGTAAAAGTTTTCCCAGTGATGGGTTGCAGCTGGAAGGGCATCCGCTGCGTAAAAACTTACTGGATAAGTTGGCGGTTCATTCCGCTGTGGCGACGCCAGATTAATAAAGGGACTAAGCCGACAAGAAAATAAATGAATAATGTAAAAGTAATATTTAATTTTTTAATGAATAATCTAATCCTGCGACGTGAGTATTGCGGATACACACATGGTGATGACGATTCCAGACCGTTTCTTAAATTTATGAGTCAAACAGCAGAAGGAAACTAGTAGATTAAGTATAAAGAGATTTTTCAGTGCAGTTCTGATCACTATGAGGCCTTAAGGCTGATTTATACTTCTGCGTCAAACACCGGCGTATGCTACAGCGCTGACGCATAGCCCTTCGCCGTGGCCATCGCCGTCCCTGACGTGCACCTCTCAAAAAATGTAACTACACGTCGCAACGATGCATAGCGTAAGCTCTGTGATTGGTCGGCTTGGTATCGCTGACGAGTCTGGGTGGGACCGAGAGCCGCGCGAATGACGCGAGCGATTGTTTACAAGTGTGGAGTCCCGTGAAGGAGCTCCGGATGGAAAGTTTTGTGGTTAAAGTTGTTGCACGTCCGCCGGTTCCTGCCTCAAAATGAGCGAGTTTGACCACTTGTACATCCCGGAAGTGTTCAGGAAAAGTTAAACAGCAGCGAAGAAACTCGACACAGAGGAACATTTACACCTCACTGCCAACTAGCGTTTCGGAAGTGTTAATGCAGACCGACAGAGACAGAGTGCAGAAGTATAAATGCACAGCTACGCGCGTTGCATGCGCCGTGGGTTACGCCGGTCACCTGACGCAGATGTATAAATCAGGCTTTAGAAATGTGTGTGTGACATGATGTGTGTGTGTGTGTGTGTGTGTGTGATTCAGGGTCAAACTCTGTGAACACCTGTATGCCTTCACCTGGTGCCTGGCCGTACAGTGCCTCAGATCCCCCCCTCACTGCACACGGCACAGGTGACTCCATTCACCATCACTATACACCTCTGTCCACTCTCAGAATCCCCTTAGAGTGCACTGCTCATTAGGGATGGGTGATATGGACTTAAATTACATTACAATATGTTCTGGGATTTATTGTGATGACAGTAATATTGATGATCATTTAAAACTGTCCAAACTCGGTCCAGGAGGGCTGGCGTCCTGCAGATTTTAGCTCCAACTTGCTGCAAGGATGTTTCTAGAATGGCTAGCATGAGCTTGATTACTAGCCTAGGTGTGTCTGATTGGGGTCGGAACTAAACTTTGCAGGACACCAGCCCTCCAGGACTGAGTGTGGACATGCCTGCACTAAGAGGTGCACGTGATGAGATATCGCCCATCCCCACTACTTGCATTTCCATGAACACATTATGCAAAACTGTTTGAATCACTATGACAGTCACTAGAAACATTTAAAGACATCTTTTTGGATGAGCTTATAATGAACAGTGTGGCGTATATATCGATGTATTATTGTACAATTATCATGTTAACGTTTCCAGCTAAATACACGGAGCTGAAGTCCAGTTGGCCGCCGGAGCCCATTGGACACAGCAAATCATGGCGGACCAATCGCAACGCTTCTCAGATGCCCCGCCCCCCTCCGGGCCTGAGCTCTCAGAAGCAGCCGTGGGTGGAGGAGGGGCCTCGCATGGCCAGGGCATGGGGAGGCGGAGCCAGCGGCACGGACACGCCCTTTAAATCAGGTACTGAAAACACACATTCACACACACCTGAAGAACAGATGAGTGTGTGTGTAGCTCTACACTACATATGAAATCTGTACCATCTATTGCGATATTTAAGAATATATTAAAGTCTATTTATGACTGTGCACATGTTTTAACTATTGATCATGGTTTATATTAAGCGTAGTTCACACTACGGGATTTTAAGCCTAATTTGAGCCCGATTTGGAAGTTAACGAGCTCGTCGACGAATCGGGCTGTGATCGGGAAGTAATCTGCGTGTGAACGGTGCTCGCCAGTCTTTATGTGTGAACTACTGAACAACGCATCAACGAGGCTCGCTGACGCATCGCCAACACCTCGCAGACGGAAATCCAACATTTAGCATGCTGAATATTCCAGAGCAGTCGGCCGACTCAACCCCACGTGTGGTCAGATGTAGTGACGAGCTGCACCCAATAAGAGAGCACATCAGCATGAGCTGAACGCCTGTGTGTTCAGGAGCTCAGCAGAAACTTCTGTGATTGGTCAGAATGGGCATCGGTGCACTCGCTTCATTCTGCATTAGCACAGACATGAGAGTAGGCTATATCAACAGTGGAACTAGAATTCTGTAACTATTAGAATTACCATACTGCTCATTCTGATCGTTCTCATATAAAACACCATACTGTCACAACATATTTACATTCAGAGCTATTATTGAGATATTAAAATTAAGCTTTGAATGTCTGGCATCATATTTAATGACACCATTACCCTAAAAAAATCTTTTTTTTGTAATACAGCCTATAAATATGTAGTTAAGATACTAAAACACTTAAAGGTCTTGGCTTTCATTTTCACTTTCAAACAGGAGCTATTTCACAGCACATAATATGCTGTTTTTAAAGATATCTGAAGTAAATTGATGTTTTTGCCATCAGAAAGTTTTGTTTATGTTAGCAGGAAGTTGCTAGGCAAGAAAATGCACACATATTTAAAGTCACAGTGAAAAGTATCAGACATGCATGCAGTCATTTTGATCAATATGGTAATTTAAGGCAGAAATGCTCAGTTCTTTACTGTTTTGTAATAAAAAAAAATAACAATGTCAGAAAGAAATACACTGATAGTTAGAAAATGGCAGGGTGTTATAAATATGTTAGTTTTATTTCAAAGAGTTATAAAATTACAAAAATTAAAAACTCTCTGTGTCTATCCACTGGAACCTTGCAGATGAGTGATTAATCCGCTGATGCATCAGCTGATTTGACGATGTTTTTAAATGCTTTCTCCAAAGCTTGAAACGCTGTCAGTGATGTCATCAGCACACAAGCAGCCTTTTTCTGACGACGACTCTCTTAAAATTTCATTGGCTGTGGTTTGGTAGCTTGAATAAGCTGTTGGGGAATGAGTTGTTGTCAGATCATGTAGTGTGTGACCCCTCTCTTGTGGATCATTCACAGAGTGTTGCGTAGTGTGAACACCACAGAGATTAAAAGACACAAAGTCAAGTCATGTAGTGTGAACGGCACAGCGATCTGCTGATGTTTAAAATCCTGTAGTGTGAACTAGGCTTTGTTTGTGTGTGTTTGTTTATGTGTTGTAATATGTATTTTCCTTGATCAGGACTTGATCAGGACATGCTAGAAGATATACTGCATCTCAATGGGACTTTCCTGGTTAAATAAGTAAATAATTCTGGTGTGTGTGTGTGTGTGTGTGTGTGTGTGTGTGCTGTTTTTCAGAGTGGAGTGATGGAGGAGCGTCAGCCGGGAAATCATGGCTGCTGCTCAGAAACCTCACACCACAGGTGTGTACAGGCTGAAGATGCACGTTTATTTGTTGTTGTGTGTGTTTTTTTAATGCTCTCTTCTGCTCTTCAAAGCTGCATTTAGTGGGTCAGATACAGTACCAAAAATACTGAGTTAATTATTACCTGAAAGATTTCAGTGTAATATATAGACCATTTCAGTGTGGTCATGTCATCGGCCCATAACATTTCCTGCTCAAACTGTTTCAGAAGTGTAATAAGAGGCATTTCAGTCATAACTCCATGTTAAAACAGCTCTCAGAACATTATTTATCAACATGTGGCCTGTTTTGGATTCTCTGAAGCTATAGAAATCATAAATGTAAATCGGGAAATACGTTGGGACCATTGTTTTTGTTTACATTTCTCAAAATGGTCTATAGCAGGCATGTCCAGACTCGGTCCTGGAGGGCTGGTGTCCTGCAAAGTTTAGTTCCAACCCCAATCAGACACCTCTGGGCTAGCTAATCAAGCTCTTAAGCTGCGGTCACTTTAGAGTTTGTGTGCGAAATTCTGTCGTACGGCGCTGCGAAATGGGGCGGGATTAAACGATGATTTGACATTAAAAAAGTGAGCGATTGCTCCATGTTTTAAATTTCTGTCCAGAGAGGTCATGTTTTGATCCTCGATTGGTCTCACGCAGTCATGTGATGCGATTTCGCTGGCCGGAGTTCACCAAGCTTGAATTTTGCACCGCAGCAACCTGCGAAACTTGACGCATGCGAAATCTTATATTGTTGTTGTCACGCTAAAAGATGCAACCATTTTAAAAGATGTAAAACACACAGTGACTGCTAGCCTGTTTTGAGGAAAACACACAGCTGGGTTAGCTGTAACAGGGTCTTACAATTAAGCCACACGCTGATGGACACCAATTAAACTAACAATATAAATTTTGTTTTTGTGTGATTTTGGGAACATTTTTTTATATTAAAAAAAACAGTTTTTAATAGAAAATCTTTTTAACAGCAAACAGAAATTTTGCTGCTAATAATGAAATAAATGAATTGTATAATAATTGATAATAATGCAAATAAGTCCAAATGTTTTTATCCAAAAGCTAAATAAATAATACACATGCTGTGCTATATAGAATTTAAAAAAAAGCTGAGTTAAGTACTGAGGAAATATAGCTACTATTTAGAGTTAAATTAACTGTGTGAAATCTGCCTTTAAGCATGTGCTACAACTAACCTCCTGACTGTTACAACTTGCCCTGCAGGTGGGGTAAGTAGTAACATTTATACTTCTGGCACTTTTGGCAATACAACATTGAAAGTAGCCTTCTATTTACATTAATTAAACCATTACAGAATTAAAAGCCTTTTTAAAAGTTGTTTATTTACTGTCTCTTTGTCTTGTTTTCAAAAGAACTGTCGTGGAAGAGCTAGCAAACACATTTCAGATGAATTTAACAGGCAGTTGTACAAAACTGATGGTCTATAATTTATTTTATTGATTTTTTTTGTAGATTATCATAGTTACATGTCTTAAAAAAACTCCAATATCTGATGAAAAAAAAAATATATGTATTTTTCCAACCCGAAGTTGAATGTGAAACTTGACCCTTGCGTTTCCAGTCTGACGCATTCGTTTGTGTATGAATGGAAGTCTATGGGAGGAAAAGCTCAGTGTGACCGCAGCTTTACTAGGCCTTCTAGAAACATCCCTGCAGGTGTGTTGAGGCAAGTTGGAGCTAAAATCTGCAGGACACCGGTCCTCCAGGACCAAGCTTGGACACCCCTGATCTGTACTAAAAGCACTGCTGTTGAATAATTGTTTATTTATTTATTTTTGGCAATAGTCTTTTCTGCTCTCCAAATTTGCATTTATTAGATCTTAAATACAGTGCGCTATTAGTATTAGTAGAGCATCTTCGTTTATTATGTTGTTGTGTTTTGTCTGCAGATCGACGGCTCGACCCTGAGGACGATCTGTCTTCAGCATGGCCCTCTGTTGACCTTTCACCTCGGCCTGACCCAGGGCAGCGCTCTGATTCGCTACTGCAGCCCGCATGAGGCCGCAAAAGCCCAGAGCGCCCTGCACATGTGAGTCTCTCTAACACACACACACACACACACACGCACACATGCGTTTGTTTAATGACTTATAATTTTAGAATTAGGCTTTGAATGTCTGTCGGCATATTTTATGAAGTCATTACCCTAATAATCCAATGTTTATTGTGATAGAGTCTATAATTGTGTACCAGTCATTTGACAGTCTGATAATGCCAAGTTCATGCATAATTTTCAAAGTAGCATGACTGTCTGGGGTAGCGATACATTGCTGCTGTGTTTACACTGCAAGATGGATCGGCGACACGGGGTTATGACTTTACAATAGCAGAATCGCAGACAACTTTGACTTGTCCGCAGACTACATCTCACAACCAAACACATGCGAGAAGTGACATGGTAACAACGCAAGGTCACGAAGTATATCCTTTGTTAGTGCTGCTCGATTATGGGAAAAATCATGATCACGATTATTTTGGTCATAATTGTTATCACGATTATTCAAAACGATTATCAGATGTAGTCAAAATTGTTTGCTCTTCTGTCAATCACATGATCACTGATCAGATGTGTCATTATTAGTAACTTTAGGTGGTTTCTAAAACTAAATCTGCCAGTGTTTTCGATCTCTCGTATCCAGACATTTACGTTTTCGCGGCTGTAGCTTCCTGTCATCAGAACTGAGTGATTGACAGCTGATATTAACCAATCCATTGGCGTTCTGTTCTAGCGCAGTGGGCCAATAAGAAGAGCTTGAAGGCGGGGCATGCATTGTGGGCTTTGTTTACTGCAGCAAGTTAACATGACGACTGTTTTAAACCATTCCTGAGCGCTGCGTTTAGGTGCAAAGATACTTAATGTGTGAATGCCTCCTAAATCAGCGCATGTGGTGCACATTTTTCTGTGAAAACGGGTCGCACGACATCAGTCTTATACACTCAAATGCTCCCAAATATATTTTGAAGTCACATAGATAATTTCGGGCACATATGCGACAAAAACGTTTGCAATTTCGAGCCCTGCTCTACCAAAATCACACAAGCTTTTTTCAATGCGCATACTGGTATATGTTCAGTAAAAGTGTTTCCATCATAGTTTGTGTGCATCTTTTCTTAGTGAATAAAACTTAATTCTCCTCAGTTATGCACAAATATTTTTATGCACGTTTTTCAAAATGTATGGTCATCTTGGCGTTTCCATCACCAGTTTTATTTATATGCATCTCCAAAATGCACATAAAAATAGGTGGATGGAAACCTAGCTATTGTGGCACAAAAGTTCTAGATCAGTGCTCCTTTTAATCAGGGTAGGTTGATATGAGAACCAACCAAATCCATCATCAGATTTCCTCCTGGAACCGCCTCCTTGAAACAAAAGCACAAACACACAGAGAGAACACAAGAGGGCAGCGTAGAGCCACACACACCAACTAAAGCAGGGCTTCTCAACCTTATTCACTTCTATGTATACCACAGGTCAACAGGGAGATTGCAGAAGAGCAGCTTCTGCTTTAAACTGGACTGACTGAGTATCTACTATTAAAAACATACAGACAAATGTAAAATACAGTAAACACCCTAAATCTGTTGATATGCATCGGTGTGATGGCGGTTGAGTTTGCAGCTGGATATTATTGGGAGATCGCTGACAGGAACAGCTTCGCCAGAGAGCTGCAAGTTGCAAGTTAATTTTACATGCTATGGCAG